CCCGTACCCCCCACCCCTCCCAGGGAGACAAGGAAGCTTGGTGCTGAACTGGGGATGAAGGGAGAGGGTAGGCGCTAACATTTACTAGGCATTTGCTGTGTGCTGAGCCCTGTGTGTGTCCATGCCCCCCATCATGCACTGTCCTCCTTAGGAACTTCCAGTGGCTCCTGCTGTCTCCGTACTCAGGAACCTCCTCAGCCTGACCTGGAGTTGCCTTTTTGGAAAACTAAGAAACAGTTCACCTAACACACTTTAAAGTGTCCATTTCGATGGGTTTGAGTATATCCACCGGGCTGTGCAGCCTTCCCCAGCACATAATTCCAGAACATGCTCTTGGTCCAAAAGGAACCCTATGCCCACTAGCGGTCACTTCCCAGGGCCCCTCCCCTCCCCGGGCCCCTCCCCCTCATCCTGGCAGCCACTCATCTCCTGTCTGTCGCTAGAGATGGTCCCATTCTGGACATTTCACATAAAAGCCATCCCACAGTGAGCAGCTCTGGTATCGGGTTTAGTCGCCCAGCGGCTGAGGGACGTTGGAGCTGCTGCCACTGCTTGGCTCCTGTTAACAATGCTGCTGGGAACATCTGTGAGCAGGCGTCTGTATGGACATGTGTTTCCGGCTCTCTCTCTTTTAAAAACAAAAACAAAAACGTATTGTTGTTGTGACCCCTCCCCCGAGGATATTTTCCCATTGATGTTTAGGGAGGGTGGGAGCGAGGGGGAGAGACAGAGAGAAACATCTCCTGCAACCGAGCCCGTGCCCTTGACCGGAACCAAACCCAGGACCCTCCGTCCCCGGGCCGATGCCCTGTGCGCTGAGCCCAGCCGCATTTTACAGAGGAGGAAACCAAGGCACAGAGCAGTGACACAGCCAAGCACGTGGCTGGCAGATGGGGATAGATCAGCCAGTCAACACCCCAAGACCCCTAAGCTGGGCCACACAACTCAGGCACGTGCCCTTGACCGGAACCAAACCCAGGACCCTCCGTCCCCGGGCCGATGCCCTGTGCGCTGAGCCCAGCCGGGGAGCCCCAGCTCTCCTGAGCGGCGCGCCTGGGCGCG